GTCTTCTTTGGAAAAATGTCTATTCATGTTTTCTGCCCATTTTAATTGGATTATTCATTTTTTGGATGTTGAGTTTTATCAGTTCTTTATATATTTTGGATCAGATATGTCATTTGCAAACATCTCCCCTTCTGTAGGTTGCCTTTTAGTTTTGTTGTTTCCTTTGCTGTGAAGAGCTTTTTTGTTTTGATGAAGTCCCAATAGTTTATTTTTGCTTTTGTTTCCCTTGTCTCAGGAGACATATCTAGAAAGAAGTTGGTATAGCTAAAGTCAAAGAGGTTACCACCTGTGTTCTCTAGAATTTTGATGGTTTCCTGTCTCACATTTAGGTCTTTCATCCATTTTGAATTTATATTGTGGTATAAGAAAATGATTCAATTTCATTCTTTTGCATGCTGCTGTCCAGTTTTCCTATTCTATTTGAAGAGTTTGTCTTTTTCCCATTGGATATTCTTTCCTGCTTTGTCAAAGATTAATTGACCATATAATTGTCAGTTTGTTTCTAGGTTTTCTATTCTGTTCCACTAACCTATGTGTCTATTTTTGTGCCAGTTCCATACTGTTATGATCACTACAGCTTTGTAACATAACTTGAAGTCCAGAATTGTGATGCCTCCAGTTTTGCTTTTCTTTTTCAAGGTTGCTTTGGCTATTCAGGGTCTTTTGTGGTTCTATACACGTTTTAAGACTGTTGGAAAATTCTAGTTCTGTGAAAAACGCTGTTGGTATTTTCTATTTTAAATAATAATTTAGAAAAGTAAAGATTTACCCATATGTTTGCTTATCCTGTTCTTTTTTCCTTCCTCATGTTCCAAGGTTCCTTCTTTTATTGTTTCTTTTCTGTTTAGAGAACTTCCTTTAGCCATTCGTTTAGGGTAGGTCTGGTTGAATCAATTATCTTAGTTTTCCCACATCTGATAATTTTTCAATTTCTCCTTAATTACTGAAGTATATGTTTTTTTCTGGGTATAGGATTCTGGACAGTTCTCCCCCCTCCCGGCGACAAACACTCAAAATATATTGTGCTACTTGCTCTTGCCTTCATGGTTTTTAATGAGAAATACACTGTCTTTCAAATTGATTTTCTGCTCTAGGACTTGTTTATGTCCTGTGTCTTCAAGATTTTTCTTTGTCTTTCGTTTTCAGAACTTTAACTATGATGTATCTTGGTGTGGAACTGTTTGGGTTTATCCTGTTTGGAGTTCACTCGATTTCTTGAATCTATAGGTTTATGCCTTTTGTCAAAATTGGACAACTATTATTTCTTCAAGTGTTTCTTCAAGGCTGTCTTCTTTTTCTTCTTTTTTCTATCTTTCCAGGACTCTGATGACACATAAATGTTACCTATTTTGTTACAGACTCAGAGACCCCTGAAGTCGTGTTCTCTTTTTATATTATTGTGTGTGTGTGTCTGCAGTGTGTGTGTGTTGTGTGTGTGTGTGTATACATGTGTGTGCATGCATATGCCTATTATCTCTGTGTTGTTTAAATTGGGAATTTTGAAATCTCTCCTTTTTCCAGGTCACTAATTCTTTCCTCTGTCCCCTCCATTCTGCCACTGAGCCCAGATACTGAGTTTTCAGTTGGTTATTTTAATTTTTCAGTTCTAATATTCCTAGTGGATTTTTCTTATATCTTCTATTTCTTTAGATTTTCTATTTCTTTGATAAAATTTTGTACTTTTTATTTTGTCTCAAGAGTGCCTGTAATTGTTTACCATTCTTTTTATGATGGCTGTTTAAAAATCTTTGGTAATTCTAGTATCTCTCTCATGTCAAGTGTTGGAATCTACCAGTCATCTTTTTTCATTTAGTTTAACCTCTTCCTGTTTCTTTATATGATGAGTGATTTTCAATCAAATCTTGGATATTTTAGATATTAAAGACTCTAGAAATTATTTACACTGTGTGTTTTAGTGGCTTACTATGATACCATTCCAGTAGGGGAATGGGAATGGAGAGCACTACCTCATTACTGCCTGGTGGGGTAGAGGTTCAGCTTCCACATTTGGCCTCTCTTCATTACTGCTTGGCAGGGCTGGGTACTCTAGCTCCTCATTGTCACCATGGAGGGAGGGAGACTCATTAAGACAACATGAAACTGTTTATAAAGTAGTGAATTTCCAGTCTTGAGACATACTACGATTGGTTTTATCTATCTTTCAAACTTTCAACAATTTCACAGAAGCACTAAAAAAGGTACAATGAGTAGATAAGACAAAGGCCCCCAATAAGAGTGGATGGGCTCTGGAACAGGTCACAGTTACAAAAGTAATATAGCATGATGGGACCAATGCTCCAATGGTAATCTAAGGTCTTAAATTTTAATCCTGATTCTGTTACTACCTAGCTTTGTAAATTGGTAAACTCACTCAACTTTTCTGGCCTTGGTTTTATAAAGAGGAAAGAGTTTTGCCAATTGGGCCATTATTTATTTTCCTGTTTTAATCCTCCATGATAAGCTATTTAAAATGAGAATTAAAGATTAGATGGCATGTCAAAAGTTCTAACATACATATCAAATCAATTTTATAAATATAGTCCTTATTATAATTAGAACAAATAAAACTTTGAGGTGAAATGATATAAGGAAGTTTTGAGGAAACATAGCCTCTTTGAGCTTATGAAAGTCATGCATGCTTATAGCTGAAGAAGTAACTTGGACCTCTTTTCAAAGGCCAGACTTCCATATACCTGCAGCAGAATCACTTCAGGTGAACTTGTACGGATTTCCTGAGATCAAGCCCCAATCAGTATGAACTTATTTTTTGAAGTAAAAACCAAAGAGCCCTCTTTATGAATATTATATACACTAATAGTTGTGAGCCACTGCTTTAGGTTTCAAGAAATTATTTTCAACACTCAAGAAAAAAAGGCTAATATGCTATATCCAAAGAGAATAATGGGTCAAGGAATTTAAATTCTTGAAATCAATTACAAACAATTATGATTAGGGTAAAATAGAGTTTATACTTTTGAAATAATATAACTATGCAGGGACTCTGACAAGCTTATGTTTTAAATAATCCAATAAATTTGGATGGAGATCAAATAAAAACACGTGACACAAAACTATAACAAGGCTAATATTTATAATGAATTCTATTTATGAGTATTTCAAAGGACCCCAAGGCCATTTATTTCTATGTGTAAAGCAAGAAAGAAGGACAACTGAGTTTACTGCCTGGTATAAGTGGTAAAAGGTTATTATATCTTACACATAAAAGATATTCAACAAATATCAACTTTCATATTCTCAATCACATAGAGAAAAACATCTGCAAATGATCATGGTTAAGAAACACTTGAAATATTAAATATAATGCATTCACTAATAGGATAAATTTCAAAAACAACTAGAACTTTATATAAAATGTCTTATAGGGGCACCTGGGTGGCTCAGTCAGTTAAGCGTCTGCCTTCGGCTCAGGTCATGATCCCAGGGTCCCAGGATTGAGCCCTGCATCCGGGCTTCCTGCTCAGTGGGGAATCTGCTTCTCCCTCTCCTTCTGCCCCTCCCCGGCTCCTGCTCTCTCGCTCACTCACTCTCTTTCAAATAAATAAAATCTTTAAAAAATAATAAATAAGTAAATAAATAAATGCCTTATTGTACATATAATATTGTCACATGGGTGAGCATATTTTTCTGATGAGATGTTCCATAATGTTCATCAAATCCTCAAAAAAGTACTATGATGTCAAGAGCTTAGCACATTAATTTGTATTTTTAGAGCATTATAGCTTAAAAGATACATATAATAACTTGCTCTTTGTAAATTTTTCTATATGGTCCCTTTTTCTATAAGGAAAAATTCATTGAGCATCTATTGTTCACCTAATGTAGGAGTTACATAGACAAATCAAAAAGGTAATTTGCTTTCAAGAAGCTCAAATACTGGGGTGCCTGGGTGGCTCAGTCAGTTAAGTGTCCAACTCTTGGTTTTGGCTCAGGTCATGATCTCAGGGTTGTGAGATCAACCCCATGTCAGACTTTGACTCAGTGCGGAGTCTGCTTCTCTCTCTGCCCCTCCCCCTGCTCATGCATTCTCTCTCTCAAAAATAAATAAATAAATCTTTATTTAAAAAAAAAAAGAAGCTCACATACTGGAATCAGAGGAATAAATTATGTAAGAGTGATAATAATATTAATCCTTTGCTATTTTTAACAGCAGGAAAAATAAGCAAATAAATGAATTAAGTTCTTTTTCCCGTCTAAGCCAATAGTGTTGTTGAGGTTAGATGCTCTTCCTTCATTAAAGCCATTAATGGCTGCAATGTGTGCTCGGAATTCATATCTTATGTTTTATAATAGGACGTCAGACTAGGTTATGATTAACATTAGCTTATGCTTATAATCAAGATGTAGGGTTTTCTGAAGATTCCAGATGATTAAAAGAACTATTACAGGACTTAACTTTAGAATTCCCTAACTGATCTTACTTGCTGAGAACTTTACATTTGCAAGCTAACACACATGGCATGCAGGCAACACTCATGCACATACCATTCTATTACCTTTCATTATATTAAGTTTTCTGAATAATGAAAATCAAGAACCAGCTTTTCAAAGTATTGGAGATTTTTTAAAGGAGCCATACAGATTTTATTTCCTGGAGTTTAAAATATTTATTTTTATCATATCCATCGCACTCTAGAAAAAAAGAAACACTCTGCTCACCATTACTCTTTGTATTATGTCATTACTAAGTCATATTTGAGATTAAAATTACAAATATATGATTATAAAAGAAACAAATGCATAACATAAGCAGGCATGACGTTCTAAGGAAAGAAATTTGCATGCAAGTTTGTGCCCATGAACATGAGAATTCAGTTAGGGATGAAATCCTGAAGCACATTCTCACGACAGGATGAATCTATTAGTGTAGTTAAGGATTTGCAGACCTTATTCCTTTCCAAATACTTTACTAATGCCGGAAACAAGACAATTCCTGGCTTGTAAAACAGAACAAACCACCCTAAAACATCTGGCATACTTACACACTTTTCGCTGTCAAATACATAGCACAAATGTTTATTTGACTCAGAATCTTTGCATATGAAAGTGAATATCCTCTTGTCAGTTTTGTCATCTGCACAAAATGATATTCTATGAAGCTGGCAATTGTGTTGGACTTCCTGTGAACACAAATGGAAATAAACAGTTGAAGAGATTTTTGTCCATTTTCTGAAATACCAGCTTGTGTTAATAACATACAACTTATGACTTTAAAAGTGAAACAATCATCTGTCAAACTTCGGTTTATAATTACATACACCCAAACTTAAACAAACACGTAATGGAGATGGATCTCCCGACTCAGATCAAACATGGTAGTCATCTCAATAGGACTTAGAGAAACACAAGCAAAATACGAGAGGATCAGAGGTGCGTGGACTTTCTGAGTTGCAAGGGATCTTAAGAGACAACTACTTTAAACGCTGAAACTTTACTTAGAAGAACATCAAGGCCCTGAGAATTAAGATACTTCCACAAGGTTACAGAATTAGCAGAACCCTTTTATTACCAGAACATTTTCATTTTATCTTACTTCTCCTCACTAGCATTACAGTTTGAAACCTAAATTCATCTGCACATGATTTCCTAGGAAACACACTACTATTTCAACCTTACTTTTCATATTAAATTGTATTTTACATGTCTTCATGAGGAAGGTCTATATGTCAAGCATCTAAATTAATCAACCCTACTAATCAGAAAGATAAATACTGTAACTATATATATATATACATACACACATAGTTATAATTTTGTATTTTTCATATATGTACATATATATTGTGTATACATATGATACACACACACTCTATATATATATTCTATAACTACAGCATCTGTTACTACACCTTTCCAAGTTCAGGGTTCGATGTGTCAGTTTGATGAGATTTGATCTATCACTCAGATTTCACATTACTGCTCATCAGACTGAAAATTAATATATAAGATATACAGATAAATGTTAAGAGAATTTGTTTATAGCACTGTATTCTTTCCCTGCATACAAACCAAATGTAAGTCACCAAAGGCAAACATGGAAATTAGAATGAGGAGGTATACTATATGACTGTAACATTTTTGTCATTACTAGATAGATTGATCCATCCATTTCAACAGCAGGAAGGAACAATGCCAAAAAGAGGGGCTCAACTTACTGAGGCATCCGATAAGGACATCTTCCTTTTCTTGTGGTTAGTGCTAAGATGGACAATGGCCACATTTGTCTGAGACTATCCTTCTCCTATACTTTGATTGACCAGTCTTTTTCTTGCTGACAGATTTTTTTTGTGTGTAAAAGTTAATACAGTCAATCAAACAATACCATTCAGCCACACTGTAGCTCCCAAATACTGACAGCAGGTATACACCAGTTTATTAACTGCATAATCATGTTAATTATATATAGAGGAAATGTCATTACTACATAATATAGAAAAATGATTCATTTTTTTCCATTTGTAGGAGAAACTACAAGTAACATGAAAACATACCACTTACATAGGCTGGTGGTAAAATGTACACAGGCCTTCGCTCACTCATCAACCAGTATGATTACAGAAAGTCTTTGGTAATGACAGTTGGGAATCATCTTAATTTTTGTTTAAATTAGCAGAGGCATCTTCCTACAAAAGAAGACTAGGAAGCTAAAACTCGTAACCTCATTATTTTCTGTGAATGTTTTGTTGTTGTGATAAATCTTTGTGAATTTTAAATGTAGCCCTAATTTTTGACGAGACAGGATAGACTTGGGAACACAAGCACAGCAAAAAACAGTTATACTTTAACACTGGCCATATTTTATTGGAGTTGGAACAAAGAATAAGTAAACCCCCAATTCACCTATACCACCTCTTTCCACCACTGCATAATCTTCATATGAAGGACAAGTGACAAAGGAGGAAGGGGAAAAGACACAGAAAGAAAGATATTGGAGCCAGTTGAGATTGCTTTTCACTTCTGTTTTCATCCATCCAAATGGCATAGAAAAACAGTCTATTTTCTATGAAGTCCATGTTAGATTAATAATGCATTTTTAAATCCTGCCTCGTACACGTACATTTTACTATAAATAAATTTATTTTAGGAGCATAGTATTTTTTTCATTACGACTAAATAAAATAAACAAACCAAAATAAAATGAATGACGGATTTTGTTCTGATTCACTTAGATCTCCCCAAATAGTGGTTCCTAAACACGTATCTGTGAACAGGCTGTATCAGAGTCACATGGGGTGGTGTTTTTGGTTTTGTTTTTTATGATATAGATGCTAAATCTTGTTCAGCAGATTCTGAATCTGCAAGTCCTGAGGGGACTCCAGCAATCAGCATTCCCGGGAATCTCCTCGGGGTCCTGATGCTCAGCAGAGCTGGTAAAACCTTTTTTAGGTTATTTTTGTTAGTGGATCCAAAAAATGGTACATTCTATATAGGCATGAAGAGTTCAGATACTCTATGTTCATACATAATATATGGGTAAAGAGTCCGTTGCTCTCTATTCAAACGTAATATAATTGAATTAATAAGACATTTTAAAGATTTTAAAACTCCAAGACTGCTTTTCGATTTGGTAGGGATGAAAAGAATTTTTTTTTTCCTATTGAAAGCTTGGAAAACTTATGTTTTTAGGGAAAAATTCAATTGGGTCTCTTGAAAATTAGCTACGGACAGGGAGGAAAAGCTTTTGTGTTACTGATTTGGGTAAGACAAAGATGTAATGCTCAAAACTCAACTGGATAATCATAGAGTTGAATCCTACCTCACTGAGGTTTTGTACATGGGATTTAGGATTGGGGAGGAAGTTACATCTGGTAGTCAAAATTTAGAGAACAGAGTGATATGGTTGACAGCTGTCAACGGGCAGCCTACGATTATGGAAGACTTATTATGGGGGACTTCAGAATCACCAACTGATAACACTGAGCTGTATTTGCATCCCCATGATCCAGCTCTCTGTCTCTTTTTTACACACACACACACACACACACACACATACACCACATATTAGTGTTGGTCAATTCTAAACACTACAGAAGTTCTCTCTATACTCTGCGTTTAGTCGTATTTCAGCGCGGGTTGCCAACGGCTGCCTTCTCACTGTGTCCTCACGTGGCCTCTCCTCTGTGCTTGCACATCCCTGATGTCTGTCTTTCTTTCTTTCTCTCTCTCTCTCTTTCTCTCTCTCTTTCTCTCTTTCTTTCTTTCTTTCTTTCTTTCTTTCTTTCTTTCTTT